ATAAGAGGATTCCATTGTCAAGTCAGGTTTATTTCTCATTGTAATGTATTATTTTTTCCCTTGAGGAGAACAAAAAAAAAAGAGAGAAAAGAATACTGTTAATTAAATGAGTTTCAAGATCCTATTTTGGATTCAGAAGTTAAAACACTGGCTCTCTTTACACTCTACAACAATCTGCATCTTTCTTGAGGCAATGGAAGAGGCTGACTAAATGGAGAAATGTCCCATTAAAGAAGGTGTGAAGAAGAAAGAAAAAAAAATACACTTAGAGTATCATCTTATTACCCATATCTTTATCCCATATAGAAATTTAACATGATTTCCTTCACTGTAAACAGTGTACAGATCAAACTCTTGCAGACAAATCATACACACCCGTATGCATGCACTGCTCAATCGTTTTATGAAACAAACATATTTTATAAATTGAATAATTACCTCTTTATTTAGCTGGCTTTGAAGTATGGTTTTGTTATAAATATTTTAAAGCAGGATGTTAGTTGCCCTAGTATAAAGATGGAAAGATTTTTGTATAAACAGAAAGCCTCTGTCTTCATATTTGAAGACTGGCCAAATTTTACCCATTTCTATGACATGTAATTTATAGGGAAGAAGTAAGACTTTCAATTTACAATCTAATATTGGAGTTTCTATGTAGTGATCGCGTGCCCTGGACCTTTCATTCTTCTCATAGTGGAATCCTTTTTCCTCTTGCTCCGTACCGATCCTCGGTCACCATGTCTACCAAGCCTGTCCCACCGTGTCCAGGAGAATCCTGCTGCATCTGGTACCAGGACCCTTAAATAGCGGGCCATGAGTGAGACGGCTGTTCTTGACTTTGGTTTGCCAGACGGTGGCAGCAGAGTACCATGGAATGCTCACGGGTCTGGCGGCAGGGGACTGCACGTCTGTGCAAATCTGAATCTGCAGAGTTAGTTTGAGCCAAAATGTGCCAAAGAGAACATCATTGCAGAAGGGGACTGCTGGGCCTTATCGATTTAAAAGCCATGATAGTATCTTGGAAATTTTCACCAAGAATTAACTCTTCAGAGGGACTTAGGGACTTACCAATAGATGATCAAATGGAAAAATCTACTGACTTCAAGTTAGTACAAATTTCAGTTTGAATATTTTACATTTCAGAGCCTGATGAAGTGTGTCCCCAGTCCATTCCCTTTGAAGAATCATCTCTTCATTAGGCTAATTAACCTTGCTTGGTCCCGCCACCTTCTTCCACATCTTGTACTCAGTCAGAATTCAGAAGAGCTGAATTCCGACTGCATCCGTGCCGCTGATTGGCTGTGGTTTGGGGAAGACACTTTACCTTTTGGGGTCTCAGTGCCATCATTTCAAACTGGACAGTCCTAATCATCTTTATGGCCCGTTTCAGTTCTGATGTTCTGTGATTTATAATCCTTCTTCTTTGATGATTTCCATTTCTTTCTGAACTAGAACCATACCAGAGGGTCTCCACTTAAATTCGTAGTGTAACATCTTAGAGAGATGGCGTGGTGCGCTGGTTAAGAGGGTTGCATTCTGTGTTGGTGACTTACCAGCCATGTGACTTTAGGCACATCATTTAAGCTCTCAAGGTGCTTCAGAGTTCTGTAAAACACTGATAATAATAGTACACATCTCAGAAGATTAAATGAGCGTATTAGTCCATAAAGAGTGTACAAACTGAGTAAATTAAAATAAAAAGCATGAAGACCCGTTCCTGGCAAATAGTAAGTACCACATAGATGGTGATTATCATAGTACCCATGGGAACATACACTCAAAAAGAATCTCATTATTTCTCTCATCAATGAAACACAGGTGAAATATGAACTGGCAGAGAAGTCCTGGTAAATTATATGTATCTGAACCCGTTCCCTGATGTCTTTTGGATTCCTGAGCACGAAGACCAGTAGGGCCAGCCTCCGGAGTAGCGGGAACCGTTGTCTTTCTGCTTTTCCACTAAATGTGATTAGATGGTTACTGGGCAGAATCTTTCCCAGCCCCAGCTATACAATTCACTGACTGCCATTACACCACTGAAATCTCTGCTGCCCAAGGGATCAGAGTGGTGGTCCTCAGCCAGGGCAGGGAGGAGCACGGACGAGCTGTAGAGAGAGGGGGCCGCATGAAAATGGCCTTAGGGAAGTTGTGTCCCTAGTTCCCCTAATCCTCTGGAGAACTGTTTGAGTCCCCATAAAATGTGAATTTTTGCAATGGAGTCACACCTAAAGGAGAGGGGAATTACAAAGAGGAAATTGGAAAGAGGATATGAAACGAGTCTGGGACAGGAAGAAATGATAAGAAACCGTTCGAATGGGTGGTCCAACTTGAAGTTACTCTACTTCACTGTTTTCTTTAGGTTTGGCTCTGGGTCACTTTTTCCATATACATCCAAGACTAATTGACCTCTTTAAGAAGGGAGTCACCCTAGCCAGTGTCCCCTAGGGGTGACAGTTGCAAACCCAGAAGGTTGAGATCTAATGACGCCCATCATGACTCTACCAGCTCATGTCTCTAGCTTGGCTAGAAGCCATCAGAGATCTGCTCCTGCATGAGTGACCTTGGTGGGAGAGAGATCCGAGGTGTCCCTAAATGACTCTTCTTCTCCAAAGCAGAGTCAGGAACCACGTGTCCACTCAACCCCAATAAAAAGGAAAGCAACCTGGTAGTAAGTCCGCAAAGAGCAGTATCTTGAGTTCCTGTCTTCGTGGCGGTTGCCATTGGTCTTGTAGTCAATCCTGTGGTTAACGGTGGGGCTCCATTTCTCCTGTCCTCAGTGTCCACGTCCCCCTCGGCGTTAGCCCTCATTCTTTCTCATCCCAGTGATTACAAGCACGTCCTAGCTCATTCTTCTGAATTTAGCCTCTCTTCATGCCAGTCCATGCCGTCTTCCACGGCTGTAATAATTGCCTTGAAGTTCTCATCGTGAACAGATGTGTAAATTAAGAAACAAATAGATGGATGAATGTTATCCCTACTTTTGCAAGACAGAGGCAGCGGCTTGGTCTCCTGTCCTGTTGCTGCTTCAGCTCCTGAGAGCCGTGTTTCTTGTCCAGATGACATGGTATCACTGCTTAGGTGTGTCACAGTGACTGGTAAATACTAAATTCTATAAATAATTGGAACAATTTAACTACGTAGTGAATTGGAGCAGATTCAGGATTATCCAAATAATGCAGGAATTATTTTCGCTCACTTGGACTATGATAAGATTTCTTGAGGGAGACGGGAGTAGAATTATTGCTGTCCGTATGGAACTCATGTATGAGGCATGTCTTAACGTGCAGTCCTGTTGTCTGGCAGGGAAGGGAAATGTCTGCCTGTAACTGTCCAAGAAATCAGTTCTTGAAGAAGAGAGAGAGAGATAATCAAAGTACTGGCCATGTATAGGACTTTTTTTTTTTTCCGTCACCCACAGGTCTTAGACGTCTTAGATGCCATGTCTTTTGTGATGTCTGCTGCTTTGTATGGAAAACATTTTCCATGTTTTTAGAATAACCGGAGGGAAGGAGTCATAGTAAGCCATGGCAAGCCATCAGTAGTCTGATTAGGGCATTAGACCAAAATCCATTTTGTTTTTCCTTTCCCTAGAATATGAAAAAAATAACTACTTGCATGCCGTCAACCGTAGATAGGTAAATAAAAATATAAATAAATAAAGTGATCGAACTGTCTGAGAAATCAGGGAAACTTCAGTTCCCTCCCTGCTGCCTTGCGAAAAGGGGACATTGCTTCCTGTTTTTAGTTTATCCTTTGCTTTTCCTCCCCAACTGTTTAAAGCAGCTTAGAAATTGGGCGGAAAGGGAGTAATGGGTTGTTGTACGTTCTGTCTATAGCCTGGGAGAGCAGGCGCTTGGAGACTTTTTTTTTTTTTTGGAAATTCATTAGGATTATAGAATTTAGACCTGGAGGGACCAAAGCGATGGTGTGGACCAGTTTTCTTGTACCTTCAGGCAGCCAACAACACACACCAGAGACTCCAGCAGCCCTCCTCCCTCTTGCTCTTCCCAGCCCCCACATACGTGCGCGTGCTTCCATAATGATGAAAGCTTCCCAGATTATGCCAATCACTCATGTGTTTTCAGGAGAGATTTCGTTAAGTAAGACACAGGGGACGATTCAAAGCTTTAGCAAAAATTTCATGAGGTTGTTACCTAGCGCTCACTTCACCCACCTACCCCAACTCCCGCCTTTTTTTTAATACCTGGCAGACGTTGTTGGCAGGAGAGTTTGGCTCTGAGGAAGCAGAGACTTCCCGAAAGGTCCGTTGCTCCCAAGCCAGTTAAGGCATGTTGCCTTTTACATTCCAGAGCTCAGCTTCCATCACCCGTCCTAAGCCGGCTAGCCTTTAAAGACTGACAGTTGGTAACACGTTAGTCTTCGCTCAGATTTTTCTTCAGAAGTTCCCTTCCCAAGCCATTCCCCCAGGGCAAAAGGTAACCACAAAAGAAGGAAACATCACTCAACCTGAAAAGCCCCATCAAAATTCCGTATGTAAGTGAAGGCTTCTGAGGATTACAGTTACGGAGCAACCTTACCCCAAACTTGGCTCTCAGCACACCTGCGTGATGCAGTGACTGCTGATTTAAGCCGACAAATCACATATCCCAGGGATGTCCCTCGTCTTCCAAACGTGTGTTTTGACTTCGTTGATAGTTTCTCCAGATCAAAATTGTTTAGAAAGAACTACATCAAAAGGAAAAGGATTGCAAGGTATCTCTGTGGCTCTTTCTGCCTGCCTTGTCCAAAACCTGGTGAGATGTGGGTTTAAAAGCTTGTTCCAGGTGAACTCCACATTCTGAGTCATCTAAGTACAGAGAGATTCTTCAACTGACACGGGAGGAAAGGTTATGACTCTCTTCACCACTTAGGTGGGCAGAGGAAGGGGAGGAGCAGTGATGGCTCCTCTCGGACTTTGTCCATCTCCTTGATAACTTCTTCCCAGGCAGTCTCCCCATCTCTGATTACCTGGCAGCCAAGTTCAGGCAAGCAGATAATGAAGGGTTTTTGAATAGTGAAAGAGAAGCATTTAACTTCCAGAGGATCTTTTAGAATGTTCTTTTTTTATCACCATACCAAATGTCAACTCTTATAGACCAAGGATGTCTTCCTAGCCCAGGGTGTTGAAAAGGTTCCTAGGCATAATCTCAAGTCTGGACTAAGAATGGCATGATGAAGGGTCAACATATGGGTGCAGGAAGAAGTCATGGCTCGTGTGTATGTTTTTGTTTGTTTGTTTTCCATCTCAAAGCAGCTTCCTGTTTCTCATTTGGTTATTAAACTTCAAACATTCTTGCATTTATCCTCAACAGCCCCCTCTTTGAAGTCCCAGTAGTATCTCCATTCTGCAGATGAGAAACTTACCTGCTTCTGTGTTATTTCCAGATGTGGACATTCACCAATGTTTTGAGATAGATCCCACGTAAGATCAGATTTCTTTAAAAGTTAAAATTAATAGTAAGGGAAGCCTTGAAGGAAAAATTAAATGAAAGGAAGCAATATCGAAGGAGCCTGAAGGAATTACAGCCTGACCAGTATCTGTAGAAGGGAGGAGGTGACTCGTATAGTAACCTTCTCTTAGAATCCTGCAGAAAGGCTCTCCAAATGCTGCACTCCTGGGTGAGATGGGAGGAATAATGGATTAGAAAGGTGCCGAGTGGATTAGAAAGTACTCAATAGGTACTTATTGCAAGCATGCCATATGGTATTAAAATTCTCATAATCATTTAACATGCACTCTCTAACTCCATAGAAGGAAATTAAAGAGTTTTTTTAAAAAAAAAATTTGAAGGGTAGTAGATTTACAATGTTAGTTCCAAGTGTACCACAAGGTGATTGAGTTATACATATACATACATATATATTTTTTCTTTTCAGATTCTTTTCCATTATAGGTTATTACAAGAGATTGAGTATAGTTCCCTGTGCTATACAGTAGGTCCTTGTTGTTTATCTATTTTATATATAGTAATGTGTGTCTGTTAAGCCCTAACCCCTAATTTATCCCTCCCCACCCTTTCCTCTTTGGTAACCATAGTTTGTTTTTCTCTGTAAACGGTCATCTTAGAACTAGTCTGTAGCTAAGGATTCCCAGCTTCTCCTTAGTCAAGAGCCTAGAACTGTCTCAGCCAGTAGGAATGGTCCAAAAATCCCTTAGAAAGAGGTCACGCCAACTCACCAAGACTGCCATGCTATTACAGGGCCAGCGGTCACGGTGACAGCAAACAACCTGAAGAACTACCCTGGCGCAATGAGACAGGACTCCAATCCAGAGCCACAGCCAAACATGTGGAGCAACTTGAGCCTTGCCACCAGGTAAGAGCCTCAGAGAACCCCGGTCCCCTGCAGTTTTCTGAGAATCACTGGGCAGTCAAAATTTGACTTAAAACTGGAAGATGTGCTTTATCAGCTCTTATGCTGACTAATGCAATTATTCCTCACCAACATGAATTCACCCCTACTTCTCCCAGTACCACTGAGCTAAGCAGATATACCCCACCTCATCGTTGCTCAAACAGTATATACTCATGACAACCAAAGGTTATGTGCCCAGTTTGCTCTCAGATCACCTTACAGGCACTCTGGAAATGTGGATCGGGGCAAAATTTCAACTCTTCCCAAATGTTTTTTATTCTATTATTAATCCATCCCTTATTTCCAGCAAATTGATAACAAGATTGCATTTGGTTTTAAATCTGCAAAATAAGACAGCAAATTCTTCCTCCCCTACTCTTTTTTCCTACAGCTCTTTGGTCCATTAAAACCCTGATTAAGCCAAATGCAGGGCTGGAGGTGGAGGGTGATCTGTTTCGTTAATTTTTAAATAGAGGGTTGATCTGAAAGTTCTATCACTCCAGATTTTATTATGAATAAACTCTCTTATATGTTGGCAACATTTCAATTTAGTAGCTGTAATATACCAGGTAAATATTTAATGACTGAGAATTGTGATGGGATGTGGGTAAGTACTGCATGATCTGCAGAGCCTAGAAATTGTGCTCTGGCATTACACAATGTTAAGTGCAAATGCTGTGTGATCGTGCGCAGGGGCTTTACTTCCAGGTGTCTCAGTTTTGATATCTCAAAGGAGTATGATAGGAAAGAATACTCTGTTGGGTTTTTTGTAATGACGGAATGAGAGGAGGTATTTAAAGTGTGTTCCTTGGTTCCTGGCTGAGAGTAAGTGCTCACTAAGTGTTCCTTATTGTTGCAATTATCAATGATTGTGTCAAGGAAGGTGTGCAAAATTGAACTGAATATGTAGTAAGTGCAGAAGCCTCCAAGGATGTGGATTTTGAAATAAATCCTTGCTCTTGTCTTTGCTATAATTCACCTTTTTCTTTTGATGCATGAAGAATCATGCTTCCATTTAACTGAGGGTTCTGGATGGATGGGTCTGGTTATCAGAGGTTTTATCCTACCTGTCCCGCAGGTGAGGCAGGCGGCAAACATCTGAATCACGAAAGGTGCCGCTACTAATATAAAAGTTTAGGAGTTATATTTTCTGCCCTTCCTTGCCTTCTGCTCCAGAGTTTTATGAAAACTAAGTGAGGTGATCTGTGGGAAAGGATTAAGAACTGTTTGGAGGAAAGGTTCTCCGGAGTTTCAGGAATTCATATTTTGCCTCACACTTAACGACCAGGCTAGCATTGAGATTTGTAGATTTTGTTCCTTTTAAAATGGTTGGTAAATAGGTTATGTATTGACGCCAAGTGGGCACCCTGTACGCCAAGTGGGCACCCTGCTTGATGTGTTCGTAGGTGTAAAAATCACGTTTCCACCCCGATGCAACCTACTTGGGTAAACAAGATGAATTCATGTAAATTAAATCAGAGGCTAAATAAGGCAGCAGCCCTGCGACTGCTCCATTGATGAGTCTGGCAGGAGGTCAAAGAGGAAGAGGTCCGTAGGAGTTGGGTGGATTGTTCCAGAATGTTTCCTGCAGGAAGTGGGATTTGGGGAAAGGTAAGAAAATGGGGATCTCAGTTCCTGGGAAGGAGGTGACATGGGCAAAGCATGGGGAAAACGTGGAGCCTTCCACGCACCTAGGAACCTGACTACAAAGGTGAGACTGCATGACAGGCTGAGAAGTAACATCCCAATGTTCTCAAGCCTACACGCTTGGCGGTTGGTATCGCGCATGCGCGGATTGATGCGCGTACGTGATGTTTGTGTTATGCAAAGTAGTTACAAACACACGATTCCAATTTGAAAAGTGTTTTGGGACCATAAAGATGACAAACGTGGTGACACATAAAATGCCCCCACCCTGTTAATGCTTTTATTTATTCTCTCCCATGCCTTCTCTGCGACAGTAGAGGATGGGCGAGTCATGGCCACACAAAACGCACAGAAAACCCTTCAGTCTTCTGTCAGCCATCTAGTTTCACTGCCTGTTCCCACTGCTCTTTAACACAGTTAGAGACCAAACAGCTGACTCATGTTGTCCCCATTGTCTTTAATTCCTTTATTGTCCACAATAAATAAGGAAATGGTCTAAAGCAGACTTCTAAAAGGCGAATCGATCCAGGTGGCCTGCTCCATCCTCAGACTGGACCCACCAGCCCTACATAAGGCTGGAGGATCCCCGAGTATGCTTGAAAGCCCTGAAAGGAGGTCAAAGATAGTGATCGTTTCCCATCCAGATCGTCTCTAGAGATGGTGCTTGATTCACTTGCTCCTCTTAATTCAAAAGCAGATTCTCATGCACTCACAGTGCTTAAGAAACTAATCAAAGCCACGCTGCAGATCAGATGGTCGTCTGCACTTCCACAGTTAAGTGCCGTCTGTAGGTGAATTTCTGTGATGTTCCCTCTAGGGAGCGGTCATCTCTGTGGATGAAAGTGCAGTGTTATCCGTGGCGCGTCCCGCTCCCACCTGGGACGATAGAATAGGATGGGTTTGAGTTTGGGTTTTGTAAAGCAAAGATAATTCCAACTAGTCAGTTAGCAAACAGATGTCCCGGGTAACCACCATGAGCAGTAAAATAGACTTGATGGCTTAACAGAGACAAGTAGGCATCATTGGGGGGAAAGTGTAAAACGTGTGGTAGGTGCTATTCATGATCCGTTTTTGATGTGTTAATAGTATTACATTCACATTCCAAAAACAGCATACTGTTATTTATAGCTTTGCTGACAGTGGTCTTGGTGCTTTTAAAGATGTAATCTCAGGCCACCAGGGAGTTTTCTGGTAAGGTTAGAAACTATTTCATTCTTAGTACTTGAAGCAGTGCAGACAACCCTAACTTACACAAAAGTGGTAGCCTAGTATGTCATTGCATCCTTGGTGTCTTTCTTTTCCCACGGAATGAGCAACAGTAAGCGACATTATTAATAGCAGTTAGGTTCCAGACTAGCACACGGCCTGTTTAATAGATGGTGGTTCGATATATATTTGTGAAATAAACAAATACTAGTTCTGTATTCTTAGATTGAGGGATTATGTAATATGAAAGGGTGAAAATGAACGTTTCCTCTTATTTTTTCCAAAGTGCTACAATTAGACCTGTGCAAAATGTTATGATAAATAAAACTGCATCTCAGCCACTTCCTGGGGCCCCATTGCCTGCAATTCCCATTTCTTTACCGTGGCCACCGTACTTGGGTTGAGCTTAGGAGAGTTCTGTCCATTTTGCTGACGTGCAGTTATTTGCTAGCCTCTGTCTCTTCCCTACCAGAATTCCCTTCTCCAGGAAAACCGGTTTTAATCAGACATTAGGAAGAAAAGATTTACATACCACGAACTCATGTTATGCTGTGACTGACCAGCAACACATAACCACACTAAGTCAATTTGTATTTTTAAGAGTAGGTGTTTATAAACTCGAGTAGCCATGGGTAGGAATCTAATCAGTGAAACAAGGAGAGAGAAATTTCCAAGCAGTGGCTGATAGATCTGGGTCAGGAGAAGAAACCATTTCTAATAGGTTTGTCTTCTTTGGGCAAGTCAGCCCTTCCCTCGAAGTCTCCCCTCTGGGTCTGCTTGCTTCAGCGCTTACAGACTATATTGAAACCTAAATACGATCCCCTATGACTTCCCTTCCCTTTGTGAAATCTGCAGCTCAGGTGGTATTTATAACACTAGCTTTGTCTTCATACTCTTTGTGCTCTTTTAGAGATACTAGAGACTGGGAATGTTATTTTTTCTCTCTTTCCTGATGTCCACACAGCCTCATCTCTTTAAAGGGCGACTGGCCCTCCAATACCAGCCATGCCATCAGCATTGTCCCACTGCAGACGGGGGCCCTAGGTGGCCACCTTCCTCAGCCTCTGAGCTCCAGTTTCCTCATCTGCAAGATGGAGATGCTGTTGACCCTAAATAATTGAAGCATTGTGAGGACCGAATGAGATAAAAACAGATTCAATTCTTACGTAGCAACATTTGAGCAAGTAAAAACTGAGCAAGTGGAAAAGGGTTCCCGTAGTTGTAGTTGTAGCTCCGCCCTCCCAGCCCCCTCTGCCATCATGTCCCTGGCTCGTGGGTTTCCATTCGTTTGCATCTGGTTTGTTTCTCATTCAAGTGGGAGAGGGTTTGAAGTTTAAGACTTTTCAAAATTTCATGCTACCCACCACCCATAGACCATCAGCTCAGTGGAGCGTATCGACAGGGTTTTCAGGGGAGATCTGTAATGTAGTACTTCCCACTGGCCACTCCCACACCTGCCTGTTCCTTGCCACTTTCAGGCACCACGCCCCTTCCACACACACACACACACACACACGCACGCACTGTTAATGTTAGGATAGGAAGCTGGGCCCTTCCTCCCTTTTTATTCTCAGCTCTTCACACCTTGTTGAATTCTGTGCCCCACTGACCCAGGCAAGAGAAACCCCATCTTTCAGCCTCAGTGGTGTCTGAACTCCTACCGAGGACCAGCTCTAGGCTCTTTCCAGGGGGAGACGATTGGGCACAAGTCATCATACCTGGTTCCTCTCTCTGCACATCCAGCCTTAACTCTCTATAGGAACGAATCAACTGAGATTACCTGAGCAGGTACTTTTTTTTCCTCTTCTCTTTCCTATTAAGCTTTTAAAATAATTTTCCCTCTAGACAAACATAGGTTTTTCTGGTTGGGTAAAATATAGCCCATCCCCAGTCCATCGAAAGCATTCTTTGATTCTCTTATCCATCCGTGCTTATTCAGTATTTCCGTACTGTATGATTTCATTTTGTTTTAGAAATCCGCATCTCCTTAATACTGTGTAGCCAGCATTTCATCTTCCAGACTTACCTTCTGCCAGGAGTCCAGGTAGCT